GTGTCGATCAAAATAAACAATTCTATTGGCTTTAGGTCGCGTGATGGACCCGGCTTTAGACGACCCCCTTTAAAGGTGCACATCAAATCTGTTTCGAAATTGTCAATTGGTTTATCTAATAATATGAAATACAAGTGAAAATAGCAAATATACTTCTAAAATAATTACCAATATTCCATGTTTAGCATAAATCGGGTGAACCGTGAAAACGGTTGGAATAATCGTGACGGCGAGAATTATGGATGACTAGTTTTTCTAATTTTCGAAGGTGGAGTTCGATTCGATATTATCGAAAAATAAAAAAAGAACTGATTCAGTTTGCATCTGAGATCCGGACAATAAGCATGAAAAAAAATGTTGTGGCTCGGGAGACTTTATGACTCGACACCAATTTAATGCAGGGCCACAGATATAAACTTAGGGACGATGGTGCAGTTAGTGTGTTCTTTCTTCGTCGTACGTACTGGGGTAGTTGTAATACCCCAATAACGGGTAGATCAATAAAAATTAACCAATCAGACGAATAGGTGACCGTTAAGATTTGTGCTTTCTATATAATGTCGTACTGCCATAGCGAAAAATATCTGCTACCTTTTCCCTAAGGTAGTTATAAAAGTTTTGCCCTGCTGACTATTAATCGTTCCGACTATTAATATATTTTGATATATATATATCGTAGAAGAAAAAGATGAGTAATATTGTAAGAGCACCTGAGGGCACTATTGTAATTTTTGTGCTTGGTAAATAATAGTTCATTTATTGTATCAAATTATTATAAAAATTACTTTAATTTGTTGTATTTATATTTTGGTATATAGGTGGACCTGGCTCCGGTAAAGGCACGCAATGCAGTAAAATAGTCGAAGACTTTGGATTTGTTCATTTGTCCGGTGTGTCTTTGTTTATTAGCCAGAATTAGGCATCATTAATTGTGATAGTAATATTAATATTTATATTTAAAAAGCTGGAGATTTGCTTCGAGAAGAGCAACAAAATCCGAATTCCAAAGATGGCGATTTGATAAAAACATATATTAAAGAAGGCAAAATCGTGCCTATGGAAATTACCGTTAAATTGCTTTCGAAGAAAATTCAAGAAAGCAAGTCGAATATATTCTTGATAGATGGTTTTCCGCGAAAACAGGACCAGGCTTTATATTTTAGTGAAAATGTAAATAACTTCAATCATACCCGCATCACGTGATCATGACCACCGTTATAGGCCTGCATTAGAAGGGCAGAGTACTTATGGACGCAACATTTCTAAATCTGTGTTGTCAATTTTTTGCTTTCAGTGAAATTTTTATTAGAAAAAATTCCAGTAATCCGGCTTCTAGTGGCTTTCTAGTGACAAAGTTATGTCGGTCACATGAGCACTGTCCCATTCGGTCATGTGATGCCTGTTATGGGTAAAGATGCCTTTAAGCAACATTAATTTTTTTCTTTCAATTCATCAATTTAAGGTAGTGGAGCCATCTCTTATTCTTTTTTTTGATTGTGATAAAGAAGTTATGAAGCAGCGCCTTCTGAAACGTGGGGAAACTAGCGGTCGAATTGATGACAATATTGAAACAATTGAAAAACGATTCAAAGTTTTTGTGGAAGAGAGTTTGCCTGTAGTTACGTATTATGAAAAAACAGGAATAGTTCGCAAGGTAGGTAGATCAAAGTTCAAATGATACGAAAATGTTTTTTAATTTATACCTTATTACTACTCCTTATTGATTTATCATTAGATACCCTCTAATGAAAGTGCTGATGAAGTTTATTTAAAGGTTAGGCCAATTATTGAAGGTTTGAACAAATAAATTCATTAGTATAATTTATATTATTGATTTTCTACGAAACATTTATAATTTTATATCAATGATTACACAATTAAAATATACAAGACCTCTTATTTAAATCAAAAACTGTACATATTTTGATAGATAATTTGTGTATATTTCAAAAAAAACCCCGTGACGAGGAAAAAACAAATGGAAGACTCAGGAGTAGGGTAGGAATCGATTTAGTCGACTAAAAAATTTATATGTAATTACTATGTTTAGTCGATTTAGTCGACTAAATCATATAACCGATTCCTATCCCTACTCAGGAGTTCTTCATAACAATTTTTTTTTGTTAAATATGCTCAGATTTCGCACTACGTACGTACCATTTTAATAATGGTTAATTGGCTAGCCGGTTTTAAAACGATTATGCTGGACTAACCGATTATGCCGGCAAACACGATTAAGCTGAATTGTTTCGGTTAGTTCGGTTATTCAATTATAATTAGTGTTGGCCATTTTAGTGGGCTTTTATTGTGATTGGTCAATTTTTGTAGATCATGCCGTAATACAGTTGATACCAGTGTTGTTACAGGACAGTTGTGGACAGTAAGTTTGGACACTTTAGATAATTTTGAACAATTAAATAAATTAAAATCACTCAAAATTTTATTAAGATAACCTATATTATTTTCTAAGTAAAATATGTTCAGCACCTAAAAAAATATATAATTAT